TTGGTTATAAATAGTGGGATTGGGATCCAATTAGGGTTTTTGACCTACTCATTGACACGTAAGAGTAGGTTAAAAAATTAATATTTAATATTTATTAATATTAGTAATATTTAAATTTTATTAATATTTATTTATAATTAATAGTAATAAATAATAATTAATATTAATAAGATTTATAATTGTATAAATTGACAATAAGTTAACAAAACATTATTTCAAGTAGCGTTTCAATAAGCTAGCTTATGTACATCCAAATATATACCTAAAAAATAAGTTGACTTAGAGCATTTCCAACGGATTCTTCAAAATTTCTCTAAAATAGAGTACCAAAAGTCAAAATCTCTAAAATATAGACTCACCAAAAGTCAAAATCTCTAACATATAGACTCACCAAAGGGCCTTTGGCCTAGCGGTATCGTAGCCCTTGGCCTTCTAGGAGGTCAGAGGTTCAAATCTCACAATAGGTGAGAAGGATGTATGAATTTATTTGTTACATTTGCCGTATATAAATATTATATACTTCAAAAAAAAATATAGACTCAAAATCCCTATTTTAAAGAAAGTACAAATCAATCATCCACTCAATTCATTGTTTTAAAAATTGGGTAAATTAACAAACATTCATTAAATTATTTACATATCTACACTTTTTGTCTTAATGATTTTTATTTTACATAACATTTACGGGTCGTTTATCAAACATTTACCCGGTAAAATTTAACACTATTATTTACTTATATGGTAAGATTTAAGTCCACTAAAACAACATTGTATGCAACAATTTACTCCGTAAGCGCTTACCATGGTAAGAGTCGTCACCCTCACTTACCATGTAAGACTCTTGGTCCTTGTCTCGTTCTTATCGAGTAAGATTTTTGGTTCTTGCCATATTCATCCGGTGAGGCAGTGTGACTTGGTAAGAGCTTACCCGGTTAAGCATTTGATAAACGACCCCTTAAATTTCTTAGTCCGTTGCAAATAAATTGTTTCTAATAAAATATATTACCACTAGTTTGTCGAGGTTTTCATAAAAATAGCAATTTTACCTTTTGGGTTAATAAACAGATTTGCATACATCACATCAGATACCCTATTTTTATGTATAGTAGCATTTTAAAATTCTATTACGAAATTTCGTTACACTTACAATAATAACGGTTCAATTTATTTAATCCCATTTATCATTATATATATATATATTTGTAGATATCGAACGTTATTACTTTTTGCTTGTGAGTTGCAACTTTGACTTTGTCTATTAATCATGTTCTTTTATTTTATTTTTAGGTGTGCACGACTAAGGATGTAAATGATACGAGATAACTTGTGGGCTACTTGAGATTGACTCGGTTAAAATTCGGTCAACACTCTACTCGAATAGGCTTGGCTCGAACTCGAGTTCGACTCGACATATTAATGAGTCAAGTCAAGCTACCTAATACTCGACTTGAAAAGTTCGTGAGATACTCGATTATTTTATATATAATTAGTTTTAAAATACAATCAGTTTTTTATGATAAAATTTATAAAATATAGATTTTAAAAATGTCTTATATTAATAGATATTTAAACAAAATCAGATATTTTTATTTATAAAAATCAATGAATTATTTTTTTATTAAAATCACAATTAAAAAAGGATAAAGAAAAACTATAAAAAAGGTCAGTGAGATTGTCCATATAGGAAGAGAGGATGTTATAAAAAAGAGGGAGGAAAATGAAATTTCTGACTTTATCTAATTGATGATAAAGTTTGAAATTGATCCTTTTTGTTTTATAAAAACTAAGAAAACACTTTTAAGTTTTAAAATTTATAAGAAAAATACACTAAAATATTATAAATTCCAATGGTAAGCTTGATTCGAGTTCGAGTTTAAGCTTGATTTGAGTTGTAGTTTGAGCTTGTTTACAACTTGATTTGAGTTGTAGTTTGAGCTTGTTTTGAGCTTGATTCGAGTTTGAGTTCGAGCTTGAGAAATAGTTATCGAGTTCGAGTCGAGCTTTCATTTTTACTACTAGCGAGTTTTCGAGTCGAGTTCGAGTTTGAAAATTGGTTTTCGAGTTTGAATCGAATATAATGATACTCGAGCTCGACTTGCATCATTTACACCCTTAGCACGACAATTTAATAGACATGGACTCGTCGCACCTAAGATATAAACTAAACAACTTTCAATATGAGAACTACTAATTGAGAAATAATCAAGGTACCAAAAGTGTCATTTCACAATAGTTAAGGGTGAAATTTATAATTTACGCCTAAAATAAAATGTTTTAATATTCATAGACTTTTTCCTTCCTTTCCACCTTCCCCCTGGTTTATTAAGCTAGATTTAATGTTGGCTTTGAGTCCGCACAAGGGAGAGAGATATACATACACACATATACATATATATAGACGCATATATATTAATATATACAGAGAGAGAGAGAGTGTATGTATATATGATGTATATATTTGTTTCTGCGTCTGAACCAAATTTCCCTTTCTCTTTCTGATCTGCTTCTTCTCTTCCATCTGTTTGTAAAAAGTTCTGAGAGAAAAAATTCTCAAAATTACCAGACCCTCATCTAATCTTCAAGGGTTTTGAGATTTTCTTTTCTCTTAAAGGTATAGATCTCTAATCTTGTATCATACTTTACTTATATTCACTCTGATTCATGTGTGCCCTAATTTCACTTTTTGAAGTCAAGTCTTTTGCTTCTAACTGATGCTCAAATACTTTTCCAGGATCTAGTGTTTCATTTTCTTGAATCACTTGAAGCAAAAAAAAAAAAACCCAATTTGAAGCCTCTGTATTTCTTACATCGATTTCAAAATGCAAAGTTGTGGCTTCAAGTTCATGGTTTTTTTCATATTTTTGTTGGTAGTTTGCTTGAAATTTGACATGGGTTTTGCAGATCTTAATTGCTGCTGATTTGGTGGAATCTTAGCTTTTCACCATCAGGTGGGTTTTTGTTTCCCTTTTAACTCTTACTTTTATACAAGAGTTCAGAATGGATTTCTTTAATGTTCTTTACTATTAATCTTGATTTAGGAACATGAGGAATCTAATTTAGATATGATTGAAGGTGGGGTATAAAGAACATGCTTATAATCGATGCCCATTTTCTAAAAACAAGATTAAGCAAAAACAAATACGGAAAAGGAAAAGTAAAAGGAAAAGGGAAAAAGGAAAAAAGATTGTTTGGCCTCAGATCCCCTCTTCAAAATGTTGACTTTTTCATTGCCACGCAAATTCCATTGACCATGTTTTCTTGCATATCCTTTAGTCATATAGCCATGTAATTAGAGAAGACTTTTGTGAATCATTATGTGTTTGTTTATTTTATAGTGTTTGGGTTCAGCTAAGGGTGTTTGATTACATGATCTGCTACAACGAAATCGGGGTAATAAATGTGACGAAAAAAACGCCCATGTAAAACTGTTACAATAAGTTTAGAGGACGCCTGCACTTTTAAAATAAAATGTTTTCTTGCATATCCTTTAGTCATATAGCCATGTAATTAGAGAAGACTTTTGTGAATCATTATGTGTTTGTTTATTTTATATTGTTTGGGTTCAGCTAAGGGTGTTTGATTACATGATCTACTACAACGAAATCGGGGTTATAAATGTGACTAAAAAACGCCTATGTAAAACTGTTACAATAAGTTTAGAGGACGCCTGCACTTTTAAAATAAAATGTTTCATTAGTTTTTCTATGAAAATTGAAAAGTGTCATCAGGACACATCTTTTCATAGGATGCTTGTTTTTGTAAGAGTTTCTCAAAGAATAGTTATATATAAAAATTTATAAGACACTTTGTTTCAAAAGTGTTCTAAAAAGCTTGTTCAAATGCTAAAAGACGTCCTATAAACTTAGCGTAACACTGCCACGTAGCAACATACTTATTTGGTCCTATAAACATAAGTTCTATAACGCAGTTACGTTTTGACATTTTGGCCTTCTATAATTCTGATTTTGTTGTAGTGACCGGGTTAAATTTAGGTTAAAACTTGATCGTGTGGGCATACAAAATGAAAAAAGTTGATCCTTGATAAAGATATGCAATTTAGTCTCCTTTAAGTCCCATGTGTGGGTTGCCTTCCCTACTTATATATATGTTCTCTTTCTTTGCTCTCTTGCTACAATCTGATACATTTCTGTTTTATTGTTTTTCAGCAAGAAAGAAGAAATCTTGTTTCGTGTTTGTATTTAATGTCTTTCCGTAGCATAGTTCGAGATGTGAGGGATGGATTTGGGAGCTTATCAAGGCGGGGTTTCGATGTGAGGCTCTCGGGGCATCACAATAGAGGAAAATCACAAGGTTCAGTTAATGATTTGAGCGATAATAATCAGCTGTCTCTCGTGATCCAAAACAGCCGGTGGGCTAATCTTCCTCCCGAGCTTCTTTTTGATGTAATTAAACGATTGGAAGAGAGCGAAAGCACTTGGCCCGCTAGAAAACATGTTGTTGCTTGTGCTGCGGTTTGCAGATCTTGGAGGAATATGTGTAAAGAGATTGTTAGAACCCCCGAATCATGTGGGAAGCTTACTTTTCCAGTTTCCCTTAAACAGGTATTTGATCTTTTTCTCTTTCTACAATCACAAATGTTTTACTCCCTTCGTCCCAAATGGAAATGTCCACAATGAAAGAGGCACACAGTTTTAAAAATTTGTAATTGTTCCACTTTTTGTTTAGCTAAATGACAATTTTACCCTTCACACTAGATGGCGTTTTGAATATCTCCATCTCATAATCAAGGGTAGAATTGGAAAGTTGGCACTTAATTTTTAAATGGGGACCTTTGTTTCAAGACAAACTAAAATAGAAACGTGGACACTTGTTTTGGGACGGAGGGAGTATTTTTTTTGCTGGTAATTTATAATAATCATTCATTACTGTTTCAGCCGGGATCTCGTGATGGTACCATTCAATGTTTCATCAAGAGAGATAAATCCAACTTGACATACCATCTTTACCTTTGTCTTAGTCCAGGTGAGCATCGATATATCATATTTTGCCTTGATTTTTGTTTCTGTTGCGGTCTAATTCTTTGAATTTACGAATTAAGAAGCCCATTATGTTCTTGCATTTACAATGATGCTATTATATACACTTATTTTAAAGCCGACATCTTGAATGAAATGCCAAATTTGGTTTAGATGAATGCTAATCTTTCTAACCAAACCAAAAGTGCCTAGTGTATCCTGCCTGTCCTCCAACCCGGAGAGTAGAGTTATTTTTTCTATGAAGACTCCTCATCTTGCGACTTTCGAATGTCAAATAAACTAATTTCAATTTTAAAATTGATGTAAATATGCTTACTCTTTAGGGTAGAGGTAAGCTCTGCTTCTAGTATCCGACCCTCAGACCCTACTCTGTGTGGGATTCACTAGGTTTGTTTGGATTGGTTTATTACACTTGCACACACACATAATCATACTCCCATTTTTTATAGAATTACCGAATTCTAGTATTCATGTACCATATGCTCTTGGCACTCTTATCCTTGGAATCTGAAAAATGTAAAGATGTTTGTTATCTGGATGCATTCAGACATTTTTGCATATCATATACCATATATCCTTATGTAGAAATTTGGTTATGCAGCAGCGTTGCTTGTTGAAAACGGGAAGTTCTTGCTCTCTGCAAAAAGAACACGGAGAACTACTTGCACCGAGTATGTCATATCCATGCATCCTGATAACATTTCTAGATCAAGCAGCACTTACATTGGAAAGCTAAGGTATAGTATTACAGATTTTCCCCACTAAGATCCTTAACTTCTTTCCATTTCTTCTCTCTTATGACCGCCTTGTGTGTTTCATGGTGAAAATTGTACAATACAATTCGACCCATGAAAGCGGACTATGTGAATCCGCAATCGTGTTCTTTGAATTATTCTTCACAAACCAAACAAAACATACCCGATATATCCCACTAGAGTTGTGCAGTTGTTTTTATATATTTTTTAAAATTGTTCTAGATTTCTTACCTTATTTTTGGTGCTTTTATGGATTCATGTCGAGTTTATTGATCCTGAACTTATTAGTAGCCACATGAATAGAAACCATCTGTTGATATTTAATGAAATAAAGGGCTAAATGAAGCATGATTAGATTTTGGTTTAACCATGAAACTAGTATAGTGAATCACAAGGGTTGTGACGTAATGGTTGAGGCCCAGAGAGATATGGTGGAATATACCATCTGCCCGGGGTTCGATTCCAGGCGTACACAACAATTGTGACCACCAACTTTATTAGGGCTGATGTCTTACGGTCACAATTTTCCGGGATTAGTTTTGGCGTAGCCTTGGACACCCTTCTAAAACTAGTATAGTGACCAAATGGTTATTGGCCCAGCAATATCTGGGTTACCGGTAAATCGTAGCATCCTAGAGGTTAAGGATTCAAACCTCACCAAAAGTGAGGCACACCGGTTGTTTGCCATTTATAAATATTATATACTTAAAAGAAACTAGTATGCTGATTAACGTCCACAACTTATGAAGCGAATAGATGCCTTTTTGTGACGATCACAATCTATGAAATTAGATTCTTGATTTGATTCGTGAATTGAGTAGAACTATTTTTTTTTTCAGATCGAATTTTCTTGGGACAAAGTTCATCATATACGACACACAGCCTCCACATTTCAGTGCCCATATACCACCGCCAGGCCGATCAAGCCGAAGATTTCATTCAAAAAAGGTCTCACCCAAAGTGCCAAGTGGCAGCTACAACATTGCCCACATCACCTACGAGCTTAACGTGCTTGGAACACGGGGCCCACGTAGGATGCACTGCATCATGCAATCGATCCCAGCCTCGTCCATTGACCCAGGCGGGTCGGTCCCAGGTCAAGCGGAGCTCCTCCTTCCTTCCCACTCCTTAGAAGACTCTTTCCGTAGCATTTCCTTCTCAAAATCGCTTGATAGATCCACCGAATTCAGCAGCTCTAGATTTTCCGAGATCATAGGGGCTGCCACATCAAGCGACGTCCCCGAGAGTGAAAAGTCGAAAATGCCCTTGGTCCTAAAAAACAAGGTGCCTAGGTGGCATGAACAGTTGCAGTGCTGGTGTTTGAATTTCAGGGGACGGGTGACGATTGCTTCTGTCAAGAATTTTCAGCTGATTGCCGCCCAACCGCCGCCAGCAGCAGCAGCAGCACCACCAGCGGCAGGAACTTCTCAGCCTGCTCAACCTGAGCATGACAAAGTGATACTGCAGTTTGGAAAAGTTGGAAAAGACATGTTCACAATGGATTACCGGTATCCTTTGTCTGCATTTCAAGCATTTGCAATCTGTTTAAGCAGTTTCGACACCAAACTAGCTTGTGAATAAAATATAAGAAAAGTTTTAACATTTTGTTTGTGTACCCACCCACCTTCTTCGCTAGTCGAATTGCTGAATAGGGGAGATTGTTGATGTTGGAACTAAAGACTGAATGAATAGCTGTTGTTTGTTATCCAAATCTTGAAACCATTTTGGTCTTCTGTATCTTCCATTTTCTTCTCTCGGACCAATTTGTGATTTATTGGAAACTGTTTTATTTGATTTCCATGAGAATCTGATTTAGGGTTTGTTTACTTTTTTATTTTGAGAGGTCTTGGCTTTATTTTATATGGTCATTTTAGCTTAATGGCTGAATGAATAAGCTGAAAGAAACACTTGTGTATGGTTGAATGAATAAGCTGTCTTGACCATGCTTATTAAGCTGTAAGTAAACAACCTATCGATGTGATGTTCTTTAACGTATTTGGATTTTGTTTCAGTTGAAGTATCGTCACTGTTGTAGACTTTGTGTTGTTTATACTGAATATGCTTGGTCGGGTTTGGTTTGTTATAAAATGACCTTGGTGGCATTATTGTAAGGATTGTGATGAGAGAGTGTCACGTTTAGGGGTGTAAATGATCCGAGTCGAGCTCGAGTATCACTATACTCGACTCGAACTCGGAACCAAATTTCCAAGCTCGAGCTCGAACTCGACTCGAAAACTCACGAGTAGTAAAAATCAGAGCTCGACTCGAACTCGATAACTATTTCTCAAGCTCGAACTCGAACTCGAGCTCGAACTAAGCTCGAACTGCAACTCGAATCAAGCTCGAACTTAAACTCGAATCAAGCTCGAAACAAGCTCACTCATTGAAATTTATAAAATTTTAGGGTCTTCTCTTATAAATTTTAAAACTTAAAGGTGTTCTCTTAGTTTTATAAAAATAAAGAGATCAACTTCAAACTTCATCATCAAAAAGACAAAGTTAGAAAATTGCATTCATCTTTCTCTCTTTTTATAACATCTTTTCTTTCTTCCTTTACCATCTATCTTCCAATGTGGGACAATTGCACTAGCTTTTTTTTATAGTTTTTCTTTGTCTTTTTTAATTGTGATTTTAATAAAAAAAAATTGATTAATTTTTATAATTAAAAAATGCATAATTTTGTAAAAATATCTAAAAATATAAGGCATTTATATTATTTATATTTTACAAATTTTATCATAAAACCTGATTATATACTTTAAAACTAATTATATATAAAATAATCGAGTATCTCACGAGCTTTTCGAGTTGAGTATTGAGTAGCTTGACTCGACTTGTTAATATGTCGAGTCGAGCTCGAGTTCGAGTCGAGTCTATTCGAGTCGAGTGTTGACCGAGCTTTGACCGAGTCGATCTCGAGTAGCTCGCGAGTTGTCTCGTATTGTTTACACCCCTAGTCACGTTGCTTGTAATGGATCAAGGACCAAAATTAGTCTATGTGTGAAAAACGACGCATGAGCTAATTCCTAGATAATATAAAATGACAAGAGTAAATTATAATTTTTGGTTTTGAACAGACGTGTTCCACCCTCATCGGACGAAACAAGGTGGAATATACTTATATTTTACTAACATAGCCTTAAAATAAAACATAATTTTCTTTTAAAATATCAAATACGCATCTCTCTTTACGTTTTACTCATTCTTTATAGTTTATTTATAGTATCTAAACTTTCACTTTGCTGTACTCAAAATATTATTTTTATGTGGTATCTATATTTTGGTTAATATATGTAATTTATTAGATATATGTTAAAATAATATAGAAAATGTATAAGATAAAAATTAGAAATTATATAAACCTTTTATTTTGGTGTCATTTTAATCATCTTCACAAAAACTTTTTAAGTATATATTTTACTATAAAAATATTTATTTTATTTTGATTTAATAAATTACATATATTTAATCAAATATATATATATATATATATATACACACACACAATATAAACAACTCAGTAGAGGTAAATTGGTCATATTATTTGTTTTGTCCTGTCAACTTCACTCTTACCAAATTCTGAACAACTGTTTAGTCTTGACATATAAATTAATTAGATTTTTTTAATATTTATTAATATAACAATACTAAGAAAACTTTTAAAGTTTATTATATATCTCGCCAACATTTAAAAAAATTCAAAAAATATGTACTTTTTGAACAAAATAAAATAATAAGTATTACCTTTTTTTTTTATAGAAATATCTCATATCTATATTATATTATAAAGCATTTGACAAAAACTCTTAAGAACTATTTTTTATGCATGAAGTATTATTTATTGATGTATATTACTTAAAATTCAAGATTACAAGTAAATTGTGCATACGTACAACTTATTAAAGCACTATGTTTGAATTCATGTAACTAACTGCGAATAAACATAATCAAATAGAGAATAAATATCTCTTTTTAAAATCTAAAAAATCTAAAATATAATCAGGATAATTATTGTGTTCTAACAGAATACTTAATTATTATATTTATAAAAAAATATATTATTAAACCTAAGTCAAGTTAAATTAAATTATAATAAAAATTTTGAATTAAAAAAAAAATACAAACAAGAACTTTTAAATAGTTAATTTGATAATATTGATATGTTCTTTTACATATTTTATATGATATTTTCAAATTTATATTTTATTCAAAAACAAAACATTATCGTTTTCTCAAAACCATATAAAATCGTATTATATCGACATGAATAAAAAATAAAACGAAACATTGAAATGAAAATGTATCTCGATACCCTTCTAGTATATATATATATATATATATAGCGATAGGGGTCCATTCAAGGAAGAATTGTTTAGTTTGTGGTAACTGTAAGATCCAATTTCAATCACAAATCAACAGATAAATTAGAAAATTAATAATTATGATAGTTTAAGTTAAAATTATAATTAGAGAACATTTTAGGTNGAACTAAAAAAAATATATAAACAATAACTTTTAAATAGTTAATTTGATATTAATATTGATATGTTTTTTTGCAAATTTTATATGATATTTTCAAATTTATATTTTATTCAAAAACAAACATTAACGTTTTCTCAAAACCATATAAAATTGTATTATATCAACATGAATAAAAAATAAAATGAAACATTGAAATGAAAATGTGTCTCGATGCATTGCACGAGTACCCTTCTAGTTTATTTATAATATATTTTTTATCGTAAAAATATTTAATTTGCATACAATTTAATAAGAAAAAAATTAAAAAAAAACTTTGAAATGTTTTTTCAAATCGTCAAAAGAAAAAGTGAAAATACCATAAAAAACAATTTGAAAGAGAGATTGATTTATTTCTTTAGACCATGTTACCAAAATAATATATCATTCACATCATCTCATGTAAGTCAATTAACCAAATAAATAAAAAGAAATAAGCGGTTAACCGGTTTAAAAAATAACATGTTAGCTATTGCTATAACACGTAGATTTTTTAAAATACGATGTCTTAATAAAAAATAATTTTAAAGCACATTGTTGTAGTAAGGAAAAAAAAAAGTAAAATGCTACAATAAGAAAATTTATAAAAGTAGATTGTTATTTCATGTATTAAACCCAAAAAATTAATTCGACATTTTATTTTAAAAGTGTCCTAAAAAGGTCAAAAATATTTTTTAAACTTATTGTAACACTTTTATATAAGACATACATTGTTTGATATAATTAACTTATGAGACCAAACAATTATATGTTGTATCAATAAAATCACATAAATTTGTTTGGTAAAATAGCCAAAAATAGTTAATTATTATATCTATACTATATTATAAAACATTTGATAAAAACTCTTAAAAACTATTTTTATGCATGAAGTACTGTTTATTGATGCATATTACTTAAAATTCAAGATTACAAATAAATTATGCATAAGTACAAGTTATTAAAGCTTCATGTTTGAATTCATGTAACTAACTGTAGATAGGGCTGTAAACGAACAGAACGAACACGAACGGAGGCTTGTTCATGTTCGTTCGTTTAACTTAACCGAACAAACGAACGAACACGAACGGTAAACGAACAAAAATCTTTGTGTTCGTGTTCGTTCGTTTAGAAATAAGGTGTGTTCGTGTTCGTTTATGTTCGTTCGTTAACATGCTAAACGAACGAACATAAACGAACATAACCAAACGGGCTAAACGAACATAAACGAACGGGCTAAACGAACATAAATAAATATTATTTGAATTCTAAGTAATTAAATAAAAGATTGTATATTAAATTTAATATATAAACGAACATAAACGAACGTAAACGAACGATAAATGAACGAACGTAAACGAACGGTAAATGAACGAACGTTCACGAACATAAATGAACGAACGTAAACGAACGGTAAATAAACGAACGGTAAATGAACGAACGTTCACGAACATAAATGAACGAACGAGACTCTTGTTCATGTTCGTTCGTTTAACTAAACGAACAAAAAAAATTGTTCATGTTCGTTCATTTATTAAATAAACGAACATAAACGAACTTCCCGCCGAACGGTTCGCTGAACGTTCGGTTCGTTTACAGCCCTAACTGTAGATAAACATAATCAAATAGAGGATAAACATCTCACTTTCAATATAAAAAATCTAAAATATAATTAAGATAATCATTGAGTTCTAACGAAATACATAACTATTATATTTAAAAAAATTATATTATTTAACCAAAAATAAATAAATAAATACACAGAAAAGGAGAAATTTTAAATATTAGTTTGGTACTAATATAAATATATAATTTTCAATTTTTTATGATATATCTTCATATTTATATTTTATTTAACAATAAAAAAATTATTGTTTTCTCAAAACAACATAAAACTGTATTATAACATCGATGGAGACGAAAAAAATAAAACGAAATATCAAAATCGAGATGTATCTCGCTGCATTGTGTGAGTACCCTTCTAATTATAAAAAATTTATTCGTTCGGTCCCTAATAAAGAAAAAGAAATTAAAATGCAAAAAAAATAATTTACTCTAAAATAAAATGCAAAAAAAAGAATAATTTACTCTAAAAATATCTAAAAGGAAAGGAATATTGAAAGTTACTTAATTCTAAAAGATTAGATTGCATATTTGGTCCCTGTGGTTTGTTGATTTTCTTGGTTTGTATCCTTACAAAAATCTTATGATGAAAAAAGCCATGTGGTTGCATTTTTGCTCAGTTTTAGTACCTACCACTAACAACTGTTAACTTTTAGCCGTTAAATTCTCCATATGTCT